AGAGCGCGCGGAGACGTCGTGTGGAAGCGTGAAGTAATCGCGTCGTCGTCGTCGTTGCCGTCGTCGTCCTTGTCAATGAACGTCTTTCTCCTTTGTCTCCCGACGGTGGCTGCCGGGAGATCCTACGAAGAGGAATCAGTGATTTACACGCGCGCTCGTGGGAACTGTTTAAAGACCGCGACCTAAGCCCACGCGACGGCGACGCGCGGCATTAACACGTAACCGTGGAGGTCAATGACTGCGGGAAATCGATCGAAAGCCTTACCTGCACGACAGTGAGTCTGCCGTTGCACAGTTGCACGATTGCACCGGCTTGCTCGTCGATAGAATATATTCACCTTGCACCGTTACCATGCGCAGGTACCTCCCCCCCTCTCTCTCTCTCTCTCCCTTATCTTTCTCCTCTCCTCTCCTCTCTCCTCTTTCTGTTGCTCTCTCTCTTTCTTTTGTTCTCTCTCTTTTTCTGTCTCTCTTTTGCTCTCTCTCTCTCTCTCTCTCTCTCTCTCTCTCTCTCTCTCTCTCTCTCTCTCTCTCTTTTGCTCTCTTGCTCCCTGTCTCTCTTTCTCTTCCGGTCAGTGTCGTCGAGGAAGGAACGAAGAAAAGGTACGGTTAAATAAAAAAGATCCAAGAGCAATCCAGTGAGCAAATAGGCAGTACGTACGTTGACATCAGTCGGCGAATGTACGTGTATCCGAAAACATTCGGGAACGTTTCGACCTAATTCTCCGGTCGCTCGAACTAATCGGCCGTAAAGGTGTACACCGGCCGCACAACATCGGAGCACGTTGGCTCGCATTTGCCTGTTAAATCACTTTGAGACACGTCGTTCGACTTATCGCGCGCATTATACCGTAAGCGCGAATCTGCGATTTTACGTTTTTACGACGTCGAAGCGACGTCCCGATTACGCCTTTTTTTTCAACGTCGCGCTATAAGTGGGATCGTTTAGTTGTAAACTCCGACAAGCAGTCGGTGCCGTTCCCTTTGTTCCGAGAGAGCGGGAACAAATGCCCGAGGAGCTGAGTCGTTCTTCACAAAGGAGGACAAATTCTCAGGAAGAAGAACGGCTCGCGCGCGCTGATCGTTCTTCGTGCTGAATCGCGGCGTCCTAGTTTCGCGAAATTCGGCGCCGATGTGCAACGCGTCCCCCCGGCCAGCGTAACGTATATGCATTAATATTTCCGCTCGTCCATGTATATATCGGCCGCTGCGAATTAATACGCGGGAAAAGATCGACGTATGTGTAACGCGACAGCGCGTAACTATGCGGCGCTTTTATGTAACACAAAAGAGAGCCGTGATATTGCGTGCGGTAACAACGTTGGAAACGCGCTCTAACAACATTGAGCTGATTAATGTGTTTACTTCGCGTATGAGAAAGAATAGGAGAGTGAGAGATGTACTGGCGTAAAAAATTTTCTGAGATCGAATTGGGATCCATTCCTGTCTCTCCAAAAAATGATGGGTTCAAATTGAGAATCCTATTAGAAAATTCCTATTAGAAATGTGGCCCAATTAGAAAAATTTATAAGAAAAACTAATCATTGGCTAATGAAACTAATGAAAATGGTAAGTAAATGCTGGTTAGTTCTCCTATCTAGCAAAAACTCGAAAAATACTGACCAATGTTTATTGTTATTGGCCGGAATTTAAGCAAGAAAAAATGGTAATTAAAAATAGAGTACACTAAGAACAAATACTTAGAAATTTATTTGTAGAATATAAAGTCTATTTTTGTGAATAAGCTTTATATTCCACAAATAAATTTTCAAACATTTTTTTCTCAGTGCACTTTCTCTATTGAACATTCTTCCTCCAAAGGTTCTCTTTTTTTCAATTTTTATATTTATATGGAATGAAATATCTGCAACGCTTTGAATATTTACGCACATTTTACAAATATAAATATTTAAAAAATATAAATACACATACCGCTTCAAATATTTTGCTCATTTTTCAAGTAAATTATAAATATCTTGGATAAAATAATACACGTTGTAAATATTATATAAATTACAATAATAATCTGTAAATTATAAGAATGATTATACAACAGCCTGCATTTTAAAAAGAATTTGTTTCTAAAAATTATAATCTTGAAACTATTAATTTATTATTTATTATTGTTACTCTCTGTATCTCTTCTCTTTCTTTCGCTCTTTTTACGCGACTTTTCTTCTGTCTTTCCCGCTTAGAATCGCAACTTGAATTATTTGGGAAATTGGAATAAATCCCATTCAGATCTCGAAATATTTTCTATAGTTTAGATAACAAGTAGACTCCCAATTAGGTCGCAATACGATACACCTATTTGGAGCACGTTTGGACAATCCAATCGGAATCTCTGCTATACTTGGGAATGCCCGAGAAATTTTCACACGAGTATGCCTTGATAAATTTGAGAACAGATGTCACATAGAAAAAGAGATAAACGAGAAATCTGAATCAAAACCGGGTCAGCAGAGTCTCGAGACAGTTTCTGATATAGAACAAGGATTATCATTTTTTTGTTGCGCAACAAACGCGACGTTAATAGAGGAGGATGCCTATTTATCGGCCGGTCATCGCACGGCCGGTCGACGTCACCAGTGTCCTTTTACGCGCCAAAAAGGAATTATAGATTTTGTCGCCTGCTGTAAAACGTATCTCCCGCATATTGTCGCGCTCGTCGTAGGAAAATGACACATATGCTTTATTAATAGGTGACGGTCTCTTCGGCGAGCTCCGCGGATTGAAATAGCGAGAGACGGCTTTTTCCCAACTATTTCTGTAATCTATCGACACGACTCCGATTGAGAGCTTGATTATCGTGGTAATTAGTCTCGGACGTTCAACAGCGTGGTCGTTTGGTGCGCTTCAGCCTCGCTGAAATTGCTGCCGACGAGTTTCATCGAGCACCCCCGTTATACGCGTTGCACCCTAACGAGCGCAACGTTCAATCACGGCCCGTTCTTTCTGTCGCTATTACCTACCTACGGCTATTGCTAACCAGCGTCCTCAAAATCCTCTCCCGCCATGTGTCCACGATTCATGGAACTTGATTGACAGCGGCCTCCGCTTTGATTCGACGGCCGGGCAAACGAGCAGCTCGGTTTCAAGGGAATTATGGAGATGCGTGTATGTTAATTCCAATTAGGTGAATTCGGCCGGGCGGATCCGCTTTAGCCGTTTTGCTAAATCAACCGTTGCGCTGGCAAAGCCAATATTTCCTCTGAATGATTGCGCGCGCAACCTAATGGAATCTCCATTTCCTCCCGACTCCTACATATATTCATATCGCGGCGCTTGAGACGCGAATTCGGCGGCACACTTTCGCGCAGAAATTGGCAATGACGTCCCGTCGCATCGCGGGACATCTCGCCATCTGCGAGCGGAGTTTAACGAATCAATGTAACACGAACCAAGAGAAAGGGATCCTTTCGCGCATCGCTGGACACGCGCAACCGGTGTTTCGCGACGAACGCGATATTCGCGAACATTAAGTGGGCTAAAGCCAATTACTGAAAAAATAAGGGCACACTGAAAAAAGGACTTGATTGTCGATACTAAAATTTTATTAAAATAGAATCAAATAAAAAATTTTTATTGCCATTATTTCGCTTTGCTTAGTAACTACAGGCTTTATAGTGAAATCACACTTGCACTGGTCAAAATCAGTGAGATATAAGATGAGGTAGGTAAAGGTTGGAGTGCTTTCGCTGGAAATTAGTGAATACATTCACTGAAATATTACCTTTCAACCAGAAACGGTTTTACTGATTCACTTTAAGAGAGTACACGAGCGTCACATATAAGTGACGCTCCAGTTTGAGAATCAGAAGGGCATACTTAGCGTTCAATACGCGTTCACAATAAGGTCTCAGATGCTCCGCGCTGGTCATTGCTAGGTCAACGGTACTGTTTTCTCGAAACTCACGAGCGTGTCGTGTCGTGTCGTGGCATTTCGTCGTGAGAGCGTTACACTGCTGACCCTTATGGCGCCCGGGCTGCCGAAAAACCGGTTCATGAGGTCAACCCTCGAGCCAGGACGCCGCAATGTTTCTCCAATTCACCCTTCCCGGTCTCACCCTTCGCGATTACGTCGCGCGCGCGTGCGTGCGCGAACGTAGAAGAACACAGGATCACCGGTGAATGTAGATCGATGCAGCTCGCGCTTACTGCCGGTAATCTAAAACGCAGCCACCAACCGAAGCTGACCCATTTCCTTGGGGGGAGGCCATCAGCATTACTCGTAAATTTTCAAACTCGTCCACGTTCCGGTTCTCACTGTTTTCCGGCGACCTGGCAGCCCTTCCGGCGCGCACCCTGACCTACGACCTACATTCAGCGCGTCCTCGTTCCGCCCTCCCCTTCCCACTGAAAGGACGCGGCCATCAGCTGTTCCCGATAGAGGAGAGAGAAAGAGAGAGAGAGAGAGAGAGAGAGAGAGAGAGAGAGAGAGAGAGAACACAAGAACCGCTGATGCATTTTTATGCGCCATCGCGCGTCCACGTGTCCCGCTTCTTATCTGATATCTATGGACGATTCTACCTTATTTCCCTCGGGAATTTTGCGAGAAAATTCGTCTTTGTTGTGCACCGACCATCTCCTCTAATTCACGCGTTGAGACTGATAAATTTCTCTCTCTCCCTCTCTGTCTCTCTCGTATCATCTCATTCTTCGATGCGAACTGTCGTAGAGAATTAAGCAGGGCGCTGACCAAGCCCCGAATTCGTCACGGACAGATCTCGCACTCGTTGGCAAGAAATCGCGCGGTCGCATTCTCCGGCTCGATTGCGGCAACGGTCTGCTTTCTAGATCACTGTCCTACCTGAAGTGCAGGCGCTCGAAGCGCGATTTAGTTGGACTGGTTCCGACGCAACCCGGTCAACCGAAACCAGCCCGCTACCGATACAATTTCAGTGTCGAGCGATAACGATCGTCTTATCTCCTGATGCGGAAGATCCGATAATCGCGTCTCTGACAATTATTACGTCCCTCTCTCCTCGTGTCGTATTCAGGTATGATCACCGTGGTGGACGGCCAACCGGTTCTCGCAGATCCTCTTAAGGAATGGAAGATCCTGGTGACCCATTACGGCGGACTGGCCTGCCTCGCCTTGGTCGGACTCCTCGTGGCGACTACTATCCCCTGCGCGGGTCTCTTCTTCTGTTGCTGCAGATGTGCGGGCCACTGCGGCGCCCGTAGCCAACCTTTTGACAAGAAGCACGATCATTGCAGGAAGATTATGCTCAGCATCGTGCTGATCGGCGTCGCCACCATTCTGCTGTGAGTATCTGTCGCGGAAATTTCGCTCAATTTCTGCGAGCTGCGGATGTACCTGAGACACTCGTCTTAATTTGCGACACACTAGCTTTCGTACGGAGAAAATATTGCAGTTAATATCATAACAAAACTTTTTGTAACCTTCATCAAGATTGAAGCTTGAAATCGCTATATATTTATTGAAAAATATTATACACGTGTGTGTGTGACTTTTTACTATAGAAAATCATATTATACTTAAATATTTTTTTATATATTTATTATATATTTATTATATATTTTATTATATATTTTATTATATATTTTTATTATATATTTTATTATATATTTTTTTATATATTTATTATATATTTTATTATCATTTCTATAGTAATTTACGTTATAATTTCTATATAGTCCAGCCTTGTAAATTGTAAAAAAAAATGTTTTAACTCTTAGAGGGAGAATTCATGCCTTGGCAGAAAAGCAGAAGCCAACCAGAACTCGCGTTGGTGCTCAAGCGGTAGTCGACAATTTCTACTTTTCTTCCAGCGCGACTTCTAATTGGCTTCTGCTTTTCTGTTTTTTATTTTTCTGCCAAGATATGAATTCTCTCCTAGACTGCGGACCGCTTGGCAGCAAGACGATCGACACGGCGCGGAGTTAGCGTTAGAGTCATAACATACAAAAAAATTTGAACGGCAAAACAGTAAGAAAATTGCCCGCACGTTTTTCGAACGAATCGATCGTCAGACGTTTCAGAATGCTGTCTACAGTCTAGACTTGAAGTCACTTGATAGTGATACTTGACAGTGAAGGCTATCGGAGGGCACACACGTACTCCTTCCACAGTCTAAAGCTTATAACGTAATTTTTACTACAATACTTTCTCCGTATGTGTGTTATGTTTTATATAGTCGCATCAAAGATAGAAAACAAGAGGATAATTCCGCACTGCGACGTCCTCTTTATCGGTACAGTCGTAATTACGATTAATCCGGGAATTTCGAGTGCGCGCTTCTCCCACGTAAAGGATTAAACGAACGCATCAATACGTTGCGCGACGTGCACGAGTGTGCTTGCTGCATCGCGTTGGATAATTAACTTCACAGTCCCTCCTCGAAATTTAATTATCCCATATGCAATTTAATCTGTTTCCAACGGATGTGGCATTAATATTGGAGGTATCAAACAATGTCAAACTCGGCAACAGCCTCGTGTAAAATCGACCGACAATGAAATTCTATTGTCGCCGCCTCCTCGTCCTCCATCTCGTGTTGTATCGCGGATAGCGTTAGTAACGATTAATTAATAATTATAGTTTCGGTGTGGTGTGCGCCTTTGTCACCAACGAGTACATGCAGGAAGGCACCAAAGAGCTTCCGCACAACGCGAAGACCAGCCTGAAGGACGTAAAGCTGTACTTGAGCTCCACGAAACAAGAGATCGAGAATCTGCTGAAGACCAACTGCGAAGAGCTGGAGGTCACGCTCAACAATATCCTGCAGGCCAGCGGCAAGATCGTCACCGAGCAACTAGCAGAATATTCGCACGCCGTCTCCCTGACGAATCTTAATGACATAGTTACCGGTCTGGAATCGATCAGGGAGGATCTGAAGCTTATGAATAAAATAACACAGGAATTGCGAATGAATGCCAGCCAATTGGATATCGGTAAGCGACGCGTCCAAGCGTGTGACTTCCATGAAACAATTATTTATTTCGCCGGGAAAATTTTATCGAAAGTTCCCACGCGAAACCAAACGAAAGTCCTTGTTCCGTTGCATTTCTCTTACGATCATTTGAGCCGTGGGAAATAATAGCAGCTAAAGCAAGCTGTTTGTCATATTTCGAGATACAGGTCCATATTAATAGTCGTTGCTTGAAATTTGCTTCAGGCGAGACACTTCGATTTTAATTTAGAGTTAAACCAGAGTTTTCAGGTGAATCGCGACTGCAAATGTAATGTCACATGTATTATATAATTTATATAAAAACTCTCGTCTAACTCTAAATTCAGATCTGAATATTTCACGTAGGACAAGTTTCAAATAATGGCTATTAATACGAGCCACAGATAGAAAATTTCACCGAGATCGAGTCTCAGAAGTCAGTTGTTAATCTGCTTCTTCAGTTGTTCGTGGTGTCAAGAAGAATCTTCTCCACACACTGGCTGCGTGCACGACTGACAAGTGCCAGCGAGTTCTGCACGACTATAAAGTGAACCAAATGTCGGTCCAAGTAGACTTCGATAAGGTGAGTAGCGGTGTGCCGTTTTCTTATCTCAAGTACTATTCTCAGGTCAATTACTTGACGAGCGTTTTCCTTGTTTACACGCAGTACATGGACCGATACTTCCCGAAGGTATGACTTTTATGGTGACGGAATCTTTTCTTTCTATTCTGATAAGATATAAATAACTTTAACAAGAACGCGTGCACTCGGCCCTCGATGTAGCAATGTTACAAAAAGAATACCATATTTTCGACAAGTTCCGCGCGCATTATTTCCGAACTATATCGAGGCCCAAATGCATAGAGTACAAGATTGACGCTTAAATGTATCGAGACGGTAGATTTGTACAAGGTTTGCCTTGGCTTTCGTTTGCTTTATAGATAAGGCTTCTTAGAATAAATTCACTAATGTCACGAGTCTTATTGAGTACAATCATACTTATGACTTATATAATACATTAATTTATATGAATATATTTATATATTTACTGAATAATTATATAGTTAGAATTGATCTTTTGTTCCAATCTCTACATATTATATAATATTAAACATTAATATTAAATATTTTTATATGAAATAATTCCTCACTTACTGAATCTCAAGGGAAGATTAATTAAGATATATTGCATGATATACATACAAGGTGCAAGCGCAAATTATGATAAATTCGGGTATATCGAGACATTGATTCTTATCATAATTTATTGGCACAACACGTGAACATTAGTGTACGACGAGAGATACTGTATAAAATCATTTGATTCCATGCTTGCCATAAATAGCTTCAGTCTGTAAGTTGTATAAGCGGAGGCATGTAATTTCCCTATCTTCTGTGTATACATCGTTTCATCGTTTCAAACACAATTATTTGCATCATCTGATTAATTTTGCGAAGTAATCTGCACGAGTAGGAATGTTCATCGTTAATGCGACATGTTACATAATTTTACTAGAGAAACTTCTTTCTGAGCACATCGTCTTTTCCTGGGCACTTTTTCCGTCAAATAGTGGTGATGAAAACGCATAAGTGATTTTACATTACAAACACAACTGAAGAGGACTCGCGAGAGAGAGAAACTGTTTTAATTAAGCACGAGAATTTAGCGTTTTATTTTGGGAAAGTGTATATGACATTCCTTTGGTTTCTTTCTTATTCTTTCTCATACATGACATCTCTTTCAAGATTTGATTGTATTTTTCTTTATTGATCCGCTACTCGTTATTCCAAGATATTAACAGTGCGGCCTTTTTATTTATATAGCGTCATAACATTAGCTGTCACAAAGTTCGATGGCATGTCTTTCACCTCGACGAACTGCATTTAGTAGCTCGAAATAGTCGACTCCGTTAGAGGAAGATTTTGATCCGTTCCATGTGTTGAATCTCCCCTCACCCCCCGCGAGCGATTTTATTTAATGCCAATTGAAAGCACGAAGCGTGAATTTTTCAGCTGCCGGACGTCACGTTCGCGTTACACAACATCACCGTGCTCATGGAGGGCAACATAGTGTCGGAGGTGAGCCAAGGCAGGGAATCGTTCCTGAAGATCCAGAAGGACATCCAGCACGCCGTGAATCAGACGATCCCTGTGGTTAGCGCGAGTATCCGACGTGCCTGCAACTTCCTAACGATCATCGCCACTAACATGACTGCCCTCATTGACAGACTGAACGCCGACATAGATAGAGTTTATATTCCACATTTAGACGTCGCCCGGAGCAATATAGATCAGTATTCACCTTATAGGTTCGTGATAAACTCTGGATGAACTTTTCTCGAGGCAGACAGAATAGGCGGATTCGCATTAATGACCTTTGAACACGCATTCGCTTCTAGATACTATCTCGGCCTGGGCATATCCGGTATTCTCCTGACTGTCTTGATGTGCCTGACATGCGGCCTTCTCTGTGGCATTTGTGGAAAGCGCCCGGACGGATACGGCGACGATTGCTGTAACAAAGGGTCAGGTGCACGGTTTCTCATGATGTAGGTTGCGAAAGTTGCCCGAGAGCCGTGTAAGATAAAGCGGATCGCTATCGTCGTTTTTATTACCGCCGACGTTTTTTTTCTTTTTTTTTTTTGATCGCAGGGCCGTGTGGATCATCTTTCTCCTGACGAGCGTGCTGATGATTGTAACCGTGGCTCACATGGTGACCGGTGTTATGGTTCAACGCGGTATCTGTGAGCCCCTAAAGAATCCGAAGGACAACAGAATGTTTGAGCTGGTCGACGAGCTCGTACAGATCAAGAGAATACTTTATCCCAAAAATCCGAAAGCTGATATCAATATGAGTTATATCGTTACGTAAGTACAATTGCGTAACCCTTCGAAAATATACTCTCTATTCTCTCTCTTAGGTTGTATTCCAACACATCCTTTTTTGGGAGAATTTTATTGGAAATACATAGTATATATAACGTGAAGTATAGTAAAATTTTTCTCAAAAAAGACATTTTAGAATATGCATCCTTAAATTCTAATTCTCAAGCTTAGTGACATTTCAAGGAAACCCATGTTTTTATAAGTGGTAAAACAATCTCATCACGTAGCTGATACTATAACCGAAAATAGCCAGATATCGATTATAACGAGATCGTCGTGTGAAATAATTTCAAAAACTGTAACAGTCCCATATCGAATCGACGTCGAGCGCGGTCGCGAATGTTTGACACTTGATCTTCCATTGTAGCAAGTGCCATGAAAACGAGACGCTTTACAACGTGCTGAATCTGAAGAATCTCTACGACGTAGAGAATCTGCGCGATTACGCCGGGCGTTACGATATCAACGACACGATTCAACAGCTGCGACGCAAGATCAGCCTGTCTCCCGGCGTGGTGATCTTAAAGGATAGCGCGAGGTCCAAGCTGAACGACCTCGCGCAGAGTGGTCTCAGCGATATCAAGTTCTATCAGTATGCCGAATTGCTCGCCGAGAACATCACGAATATCAATCTGGAACACCTCGCCAAACAGTTGCGCGAGGTTTCCGCCAAGTTGCCGAGCGGGCAGGAGGACATCAGGGACAGTCTCGAGAAGAACGCCCACGACTTGGAGCATTATCATAGAGATCTGGTCATGCCGATGGCCACGCTCAGCGATCAGCTAAGCGCAAACGCATTGATGCTTCAGGAGAACATCAAGTTCAATCATAGCTCGATGGCGGAAGCTATTCACGATCTAGTGGAGGAAGTCACTAAGGCGCAACAGTTCCTGAATAAAGACGGTCCGGAATACGTCCAATACGTATGTTATATATATCTTTTCTTTTCCTAGAAACATATCAGAGATTACGGCTGAACCCAACTAACAGATACGATTGACAGCTCGCGACCAGATTTGGTAATGCGTTTCTACTTCAAGTGGACAAATTCCTCGACCACGTCATTCTGACAGCCATAAAAGAGATCGGAAGATGCGCTCCCGTCTCGAACGCTTACAACGCGACACTCGTGGCAGGATGCAATAAGGTTCTGGATCCATTCGTGAGTATCGCATTCCGCTACATATTGGACGAGAATACGCGTCTTCATACAGCTGATTTTCGACGAGTTTGCACGGAATTGTTAATTACCTATCGCCGTTAGACTCTTGTTATTGCTTTCTGGTCTCTCTCGTTATAAATTCCTCGAACGCGCAAGTTTCCCGGTCGTCGACAAGCGAATTCGCGTCGGACGATAGCCAGCCGAAGTGTCGCGCGGCCGACGCGTTGCAAAATTAAGCGCACCCCGCTAGAATTAATATTCATGCACCTATTTGCATTTATACAGAACGGCTTCTGGGCGAGCGTCGGCTGGTGCTTGATCCTATTCATACCGACCATAGTGCTCTGCGTGAAGCTGAGCGCCCTGTATCAAAAGTCGGATCCGTACCCGGGGCCCCTCGTCGAAGCGTAAGTCTCCACTTGTTTTCCTATGTAAATACGACAATCGCGACTGCGACCTGAGAGACGTGTTTTTTTCATCGTGTTTTTTTGACTTCTCACTCGATATATATGGTGCATGACATGATGTTTGAGGTACTAATGTGTCTCCAGTAGATCCACTGTCGATCGATATCGAAACACGGATTACTTCTCGAATCGTCGGTCAGTCCCCCCTCCCAGGTGAAACGAATGATCGAATTTAAGAGAGGACGATAAGAGACATAGTGTGACTCTTCGTATCGAAAAAGGACGGGATTTTCTTCTCTCTTTCTCCACTTTGTCTTTCCTTTCTCTGCGAGTCTCGACGTACAACGAATCTCTGAGCACCCTTCATGTAGAAACTGTTGAAAGTATTTTATTTATTTTTCCGTCTCTCTCGTAGCCATTCTCGAGCTTCCATATACCATGGCATGTACTTATTCGCGCTTTGTAACATCTTTGATAGTCGGCATGTCCTTGTTCTTTTTATTTATGAAAGGATCCTTCGATCCGGGAAATTCCAGCGGAATTTCCCGGTTCGAATCAGCCTCCCCTCGCCGTCCCGCTCCCTCGACCTCGTAAATCCACGTAATCGCACCGAATATTTTGTCCGTTCAAGACGAAGGAAATTGTGTGGTGACCCTGTCTTCAGTTTTTCACTCCTCCACTTTGTGACGTGTGCGAATTAACAGTCTTAACACACAATTAACGGGGGAAGGGACCACTTTATCATTTTGATGATGCATGTGTCGGCTCGTAAAATAAAGCGTTTTATTCTCGAAAACTACATTGTCGACGCTCTTCCGCTCTTTCTCTCCTCCGTTGACTGTGTCTTGAGCGCGCATTGTCTTCCCTTGTGACTGTGCACAACGAGCCACGCTCGAGGAGATCACGTAAAATCTGTCTCTCACTTTGAAGCCGATCGTGCCCGGCGCGCGGTAGCTTTAGATTATGTTTAAAGTAGCCGTCTAATGTGTGGAATGGTTGTTGGAATCTAACCGCTAACACGCTCCGTTACAGTGAATATTTGTATGACGCGTACGCAGACAGGGATAACATACCCCTCGCTCAGTAAGTATACTACGACAAAGCCACAATGTGCTCTCGCATGTGCCTCCCCCCACGTATTCCCCTCCCCGAGAGAGTGACACGCATGTATATATATCGAATTTATTTCTCACCAGACCTCTGAATGTCGTGCAACTTGCTCGAGAGAAAAAGAAAGTGCAATGTTCTCCACACTGAGAAAAGGTGTTTGCAATTACGTAGAGGAATAATTGATATAAATTACGGTAAAGGAGAACTATTTTTTTTTATTAAATTCCACCATAATGTCAGTAATAATAATCTATGCATATCGTTTTTGTATTAGAACGACCAAAAGATATGATCGGGGTCAAAAATAATAACTAATTTTGGTCAAATCAATCATTGATCTTTGATGAACTGCTCTTTTTCTCTCAGTATACCTGCCGTAGAGTCCGTCGTGCAGTGGTTCGATTTCCGACGATCAAGGGTAACGCTTCCTTTACTCTTTCATTTTCCCAATTAAGGGCAGAATAGAGAAGCAGGAGAGGAACCGCTGCGCGCCGCTCGGGACACGGAAAGTAACTTCGGCATAATTGTCTCTCCTCGCGCATTTACATTGAGTGTTTTTTTTCGTTGGCATCCTGATTTCCGTACGACTGCATGCGACTACCTCGCAGCCTGCACGATGATTCTAACGTTCCCCGTTAGACGCACTTGTCGTAAGATACGTTGCGCGTTGGATTATGTTGAGAGCATTTCGAAATTCATTTCACGCTTATTCGATCACGGCGCATTACTAATTTCGCTTAATTAAAATTTTCTGTTTAAGAGCTTCACTAGGAGACACAAACACAACATATACATGTACGTGCGGATAGACGACGGCTTTTTTTAGATCAAGCGTTCAGGCACCGGCTCTGTAGTCGTCTAGAAAGTGTTCCTCGATCCTAAAGCTGCATACATCGAACTCGCATAATGATTAAACGTACACACACGGCGTGTGCCTCCCTAGACGGAGTCTCCAATTAATATAGTAAATCGAAGCGAACGAAAGTGAGTCAGCGAACGCGAGAGTCTTTAATCAGGGATCCGATCCGCTTCGCGCGACTCGATCAATCCCACTCGACTTTATTCTGTCACATTCAATCCGCCTCATCCGTCGCTGCCATCGCGCAAAACGACGACTTACGGTGACATTGCAATCTGCCAGGCACCGATACGCCATTCATCATTCTGCGGGTTCCCGTGCAGTCGCGGGGTTAATACACGCTGCTCAGAAAAGTGTTTCCCAAGTGATGTTTCCCGATACTCCGCGGAAATCCGCGGAGCGCAGAGAGACGCAATTAGCGGCCACTGAGTATTTCGTCAAAAAAAGAGATACTTGTCAAGAGAGAATCGCGATTCAATCAGCATGGCAGGGCCAATCGGGGCGCAGCGGAAGCGTGCAAGAAATGATATCGACTATCGCGAAGATATCTCAACAATCGTTGACGTGAATCTTTTCGTACGCTGTGCTCTACTCTTTCGGATCGCTGCACGGAGAGAATCTCGTAGTAAAAATTACTACAGGATTTTATAACTGAGGAATAGATCGACATCGTAAAGTAATTGACTCTATCCTCTCATTTCATATATGTTACTTATACATAGAAACTGAAATGAATTATTAAAACACTTGCTATGTTTCTAGCGAAATTTACTGCATTTCTTAGCAAGAGATACGCCTTGCTGTCTGTTCTTGGATTGCTAAAAAGAGTATAGTTAAAAAGAAATTATCTGAAAAAAAAGAGCTACAGAATTCTCTCCGTGTATTTCTAAGAGACACCCTACCTCAATTGGGAAACACCTATCCAGAGATTTAACCGACACACCGCAGCTTCTAGCGTACGACACACGCACACAAGCAAACACACACTTGGTCTCTCTAACTCGCATGACGAGTGCTCGCGTCGTTACTACCCGGCACGAGCCGCATCGACATTTCTAAGGGAATCCTGCGTTTTGCTTGCAGCGTTCACGACAAGAAGCATGTTTCCCACGGCAGGCACCATCCGTCGGCGTACGTGGAAAGTTATGACGGACCAGCAGGCTACAACGAGCGCGAGAGGGTCTCCGACGCTCATCAAAGTACGTCGCATCATGACTCAAGATACTCCGATCTGGCGCCGAAGTGAGTAGAGGAGTCCTTTCTGCTTCTCACCGCCCGTTGTTTCTCGTACCGTCCATGTGAATCGCACCGAGCAAACCTAGGAGATCAATTTCGATTCGACGTGTTGTCACACGTATCGTATGCATATCGAACGGCGCGCCGAGACGACACGTTGTGTCGTGAACACGCGGTTAAACGTGGCACATTGTGGCGACGTTATCTACGCGTAACGTCGCGCAATTCTTTCTCCTTTCTCTCTCTCTCTCTCTCTCTCTCTCTCTCTCTCTCTCTCTCTCTCTCTCTTTCTCTTTCTCTCTGTCTCTCTATCTCTTTCTCACCGGTTTCATCGGTCACGTCTTATTTCTTTACAGTTTCACCCTATCGTGGCGAAACCACGAACATACCGCCCATTCCAAAACAGAACCTCACAATAAAGTCTTTAGCGTATCACTAGAGTCGCAGTAAGTTTGTAAGCGGAGCAAGCGATCAGCATAAATTCAGCTTTCTGTGAAACGTAATGCTTCCACTTTGTTTGAGTATACACCGAGCCACTCTGGCGGTCAGTATGATACCCTCTTCTTCTCGTAATCTCTTCTCGCCCGATACGAGCAGGGTTCCCACTCATCGAATGTGATCTTGCGTTCTTATCGCGAGCTGAGAAGCTCGAACGATCGACGCCGTGCGAGAGGCGGCTCTTCTCAGAAGCAGCCGGAGGAGGAGAAGGAAGAGGAGGACGACGAATTTCGTACGTGTTGCGTGATTCCTTGTGGATCACGGAGCACACGACACTCTGTGCTTCTCCGAGCGGCTGCCAATCGACGACGTCGGTCGTTCTTTCGGTTCTGAGATTTAGCGCGCGAGGCGTTCCGAGATCTGACTGTTGAATGTGGTATCATGTTGAGGCATGTTCATACGCAATGAACCCCGATGGTCATGGATTTTTCTCCCGGTTATTTCCAGGTGAGTGGGAACCCTGCGGGGGGGTCAACCTCTCGCGTCTCTCGATACGCCTCTGCACGTAAGTCGCAAGACTATTGTTACCAAGTGTTACGCCGTTTCTCCTTCTCCTTGCGTGTTACGTTCGTGCTGTTCGTTCTTTGATCGGCCGTAGCTTTACAAGAGAAACTAGCCCGCATAAAAATTTCTCAAGATTTTTCCACAGATGCAGCATAGATTTCTACTGCTCAAATTTATCTCAAAATTGATAATTCCATTCTTATTCGAAACATAAGAAGTTCTCTAAAATCGAAACAAAAATATCATGAGAACTCGCATTTTTGTCCAATCGATAGTTTTACAAACGGGAAATCGTACTTTTGTTTCAACTATTGTATTTCAATAGAACAAAATATCAAAAAATCGAATATTTTTTAGACACTGAGAATAATGAAATTCCGAATAATGAAATTCTTTGGAAAGTCAATATGTTTTACTCAATCCTAACGTGAAATAAATCAGAAGAAATATTGGGAAAATTTTCCAACTTGAAAAATCGCATATTTGAGAAACATTTCGAACCCAGAATTATTTTGGAAAATTGGTTTGGGTACCAATTAAATCCCAAGAAATTTTCTGTGCGAGAAGGTTAGTTGTAAGGTAGTGAAAAAGATTAGAAACGGAAAAAAACGCGAAGAACACGCGAGGCCAAGGGGCCCGAGCGGCGAGCGTTCAGCTTCCTCCGCCGGTGGAGACGCTTGTCGTTAACCCGGAGCGAGACACCTCAGCGAGGACAGTTGTCGATGCTAATGAACCTCCATCGGGCGATACTTGATCGTGGTATTGATTTAGCTTGAAGATACCTCACACGACTTTCCGCCGCAGAGAAGCATGTCCACCCCGGTGTATCGTCTGAAAGTATACTTTGCGATACCGGATGCGCGCCCGCGAGACACGTCTCTCCAGCCGAGTTTACAGTCTTACTTTCATTTCGCTTGGGCGGCTGCTGTATCATATGTTAGTGCGCTAAGGCATTTTACTGTGGCAAAGGACGTAATAGATGATAAGCGCTCAGCTCTTTCGCTGCCGCGAGCCATCGAGAGTCGGTTGCGCCGACTCTTAGGGATCCTCGAGTCGCAGGCAGCGAAAGGGTTAAGCAGATCGGTACAGCACACTAGGAAATGTTTGAGTGCTATGAACTTTGATCGGAGACGAGTATCGCGCAGATACGTAACCGTACCGTTGAGCTCACGAATGCTGTCGTTGCAGAAATTGGGACTTTCCCAACGGTGGACCGCCAAGGTATCAACCAGCTGCCGGGGCCCCGCCTCCATTAAGCACCGAATATGAACGACCGCCGCCCTATTACTATCCTGGACCGGGGTAAATATTCGTGCATTTTCAAAGTCAGCTCTAAACATCAGAGGCCGGTGTTGTTCGTTGAAACGCTGTGAACATCACGTTTGAAAGTTCCTCACAGTTTCCCTCGAGTTTTATCAGTTATGAGAATAATTCTCCATATTTATTTATGCAAGTTATTATTGTTATATTAAATATATATACAATCAATTAATTTATTATGATTAACGATATATAACATAATTTATATAATTGATAGTCTTATAATAGTCGCACAGTAGAAACAATTGAAGTCATATTGATTGGACGCGAGGTCAGATTTTGATGATCATAAATTCTGCTTTCAGGGATAGAAATTAGGAAACAAGTGCCGTGGCATGCACGAAAGCAGCGCTGAACAGTGTGGCAACGCACAGCCTCACGCGCAGTTACAAGCGAACGCTCAAGAAGAGAGAGAAGTCCGGATGCAAGAGAGACTACGTGTAATCCCTCGCGTTGTTCCTGAGCGTGCCACGGATTGTGCGAACACCCAAAGTAACTAAAGACCAAGTTTGATACAGACTGAGATAGGCTAATGATCTTCTTCGCGACGTGTTTCCTTTCGTTTTTCACTTGAGCGGAGCGAAAATGCGGAGCGTGTTATCGACATACGTAACGCGCAAATCCTCCCTTTATTTTAGGCGTTTTCCTTAAGAATTTCAAATACTCGCGTGTCTCGTTACCACAGAGAGGCACATGTCGTTTTTCTAGGACGGAGCAATCGGCGAGCGTGTCACGCTCTTCCTGTCCGTTTCTCCAGTTTCCCTTCTTTCGCTCGGAAATGTTAAGGTGTTCAATTATGACTCATTTGGTATTCTTTTTTATCTATTAAGCGGTAACAAGCACGACGTGCTTGTACTTTCTCGCAATCGCTGCCGACTCGTTTCGAATCATTTCGACCGTATTTCGGAATAATGGAACGCAGACGTGGACAGAACGATCGATCGAGTGCGAGAAGTGGTTGAAGGAGAACAAGAGCCGATCGAGAAAAAGAGTGAGAAAAAGAAAGAAAGAAAATTCCTTTGCGTAGCGAAGACACGAAAAGACTGTGCGACGTATCGTGAGAAGCCTCACCGTTCTCATGTGTACTCGCATATCCACCGACCGAGCTACGTAATGCACAAAATATTAAACGCTGCCAATTCAGTGCGTCGCATTTTTTAGCCCGCGAGATAAGGGGCCAGCCGTTGTATCCGCACCAGAGAGAAAAATTCGCGATCCGCGATGAAAAATTAACAAACGGATACTCCGTTCAAACGATATATCCGATTGCTTCTGGGGTCATCCGATCAAGTCTCCCGATCGAGTCGATCGGATATCCGTATAGCGCCGTCTGTTAATTTCTGATCGGCTCGTGGACTCGGTGCGGACGTCGAGTATACCGCGGACCGGTCCGCCCGTTTCCAAGTGCACTGAACCAACGCCATATGAAAATGCCAAACGAGAAACACACGTGTGTGTGATCCACACGCGGCAGCACGCACGAGTGTCGTCGCGGCTCATCGTACATTTCGGATCTCGCTCGTCTCTAGCCGAGGAAGAAATGCCTTTAGAAAAAAGGAGACAAACTGATCATTCTTATATCTGTGCCGCGCCCGGCGGCGATACCCACCGCGGCTTCCCGACTCGCGGCGGAGAGAATTCCCGAGAGCGACCGTCGCCACCGTCGCTATTATAAATACTCTGTGTACATGGATTTTTAAGTAGCCGTTTTCTTACTACTGTTATCTTACTGTATAACTTATCGATATAAGCCGACGATTTCGATTCCTACACCGCGTAGACGGTGCGCCGTGCGTACACGTTTGCTTGTATAAACGGGTCTACGCGCTGTACGAATCTCTCGATGTGTGTATTATCGCGGCATCATTGCCCATTGTCCGTCTCGGGTGCAATAATCTCCCGACGCACGTGCGAGCATTCCACGTTCGTCCAAGTTCATTTTATTCGCATCACGCGGTGAATCCCTGAAGGTTTATATGGTGCACGCGCCAAATCGTTCGCGAAATGCTGCCTTCGCGGGCCAGCCGACAATTAACGTCGCGAACTAGTTCTGGTATCGCACCTATATATGCTCATGTAGATCCACCGAGCCGACCGTCTCTGAGAGACCTTAGTATCGGAGAAATTCAGAATCGAAGAAATCACACACGAATCATTTGCTTACGCAACAATATACATCACACTTTCAAGCAAGGAAATCGCTTGTTTAGAAAACTCGCCGTTCAGCGTAAACTTACATCTCAACATTGTTGCCAAAAATATGGAAGAAGATTGTATGAACTCTTAGCAAAATTCTCGTTGTAACTCGAACGTGAGGGACATTACGAAGGACGTTGCGGAGATGATGAGTAATAAGAACGGACCGACAATGAGAGACGCTCTGGCACTTGCTCTCGCGCGTGTACAGAAGCTGTTGGGAGAACAAGAAAGCCGACACGAAGGACACGAAAGCGAAACCCCGTGTGTTCAATAGCCTCCTATTGAACGCACTTCCTTCGTGGAAAGTGCACTTCTCGTAATAGCGATCGTTTCAGATTTCCGTTCGAATTCCAGTGCGCACCGCGCGTGTTTCGCTTTTGATGCCCTTTGTAGACGTGTGTCTTATATCACGGCGGAGAACGGCCGTGATGTTGGAGCGTCGAGCCCGATCGCGGCTATTGGCAACCGGAATTGCCAAAAAGTCACCTTCTACCTTCCTCCTCGCGCGACGCATCGAAGCGCGGTGAGTCGGAGCGCGAGGACCGGTAGAACGTTGTAGCAGGGCGGAACGAGCGTTAAGTGCGAAAGACGATAAGTGTTTGTGAGTGCGCGCGTGTGTGTGTACATGTATGTGAGAGAGCGTATGCGTGAAAGATAGAGAGAGAAAGAGAGTGAGAGAAGGAGAGAATTGTCGCAATTTATAGCGAAGTAAAATTTTGCAAAAGTCCCCGCTGTATCATTACCGTATTTACACTAGTAGCGTAGTTTTACTGAATCTACATCTTAGTCTATCGACATTCGACACAACGTATGTACGCGTCATGCGACTCGGAGGAACAAACTGATGTATTATCTTTTCTTTCGCCTTTTACTTTTTAATCAACGGAACGTAACGATCGAACGGCGTGCCCGCAATGGCTGCTCCCGTCGTGCTCTCAAGGTCGCGTGTTTCGGAGAACGAGTGCCGTTTTCGATAAGTGCGCGCGCGCGCGAAATATTCCGAATACAATAGAGTCTGTAGCGGAGCGTGCTAGCGCGCCGAAAAATCCCGCCGGCAAAATGCGAGATCGCAAATCGCTGACAAACGAAGGAAGAAGAAAATAAAAGAAAAATTCTCTGATGCTATTTTTATAATGTAACGACGATTGTGTGTAGCGACGACTCGCGTGTGTGCATCCCCGCGGCACTCCTTCTCCGCGCTCGCGAATCGACACGCCGCGAGCAGGCACGGTAGGATAGACCGAACTGGATCGAAATAATACCGGAGACAGTTGTCGCGTTTGAAACGCCAATGACAACTCAAAAGTTTCAAAGGTTATTTCGATCCGATCCACCTCTCGGTCTAGTCTACAGAGAGGGCTGTTGCCGTGGTTCAAAAGAAACGCTCTTCTCTCGCAGTCTCTGCCGAAGGAGAGACGCGAGATGAAGCTCTGCGGAATCGGCAGAATCGAACTGGACGGAGGATGTCGACGAAAGAGCTGCGAGACACACTCTCTCGCAGTGTTCTGCATTTGATCGGCACCACGTTATTCGACTTGGAAAATTTCAACCTGTAGGCACGATCATTCTATGCCGGGATCCTTCGATGATAGTTCTAACGATATTTGTTTCCGACGCGCTAAAACGTGTTCATAATCGAATGATACTAATGATCTTGTAAATCTGTCTTTCCAGTTCGACTCTCTATGAAATTCGGCGAGGAGAAAATTGTACTTTCATTATCACGACATTGTTACACTGAATGGTTAAACGTTAGAGTTTTTTTTTTTTTTAGTATTTACTCTTGTCTGCTCAATTTCCCAGGGCGCCGAGAGCTTCGGACGAGCGGCGTCCTTCTCTCCCCCTCCTCCTGTGCCTGTCCCTTCTGTCTTTTGTTTCTTTTCGCGCTGAATCTGACAGCCATTCCATCGGGAATATTTGTGATAAACAGTTGTAAAGCGCGGGCTGTCTTGTACGCGCGCTAAAATCATCGCAAAGATATCAAGAAATAATTCGCGTCTTGGGGATCGACCGAGGATGCAAGTGTAAGGATAGTACGCTACTGAAAATGGCGTTTTTGCAATTCACCAATTGTGTTTGTTAAAATTAATTATTATTATTATTATTACTATTACAATATTATTGATATTATATTATTATAAAAATGAGTGTACTACAGTTTAAATATATCTATTTTATATTAAATCGATAATGAGGCGTTATTAATTCGTATTACGGATTCTCGATCTTATCAGATTGCTTACTCTCTAAATTTCTCGAAGTTACTTCGAGTGAGCGAGTGAAAAGTGGCAATACTTTAAAACTGATTCTGACTCTATGTGAGCGAATGTTTCAATCGATTGAAATGGATATTCTTCTGTGGAATGCGTCAGGATTATCGAAAATCGTGTCCTAACGATAGTGCAAGTAATTCCGAATATTGACTTATGAGACATAACGCCTCAAGAATTTACATCGCGTTACTGTTATTCAATATAAAAATAGAGATTTTTAACCCCTCATTTCACACAATTGTACTGTTTAGTCACTATAAGTACACCTTTGTGTATTTCCTGAGTACAATGTGTGTGTTCCATATGCATCAGATCTGTCAACTGTTGCAACGAGATATATATTCTGATTAAGGTTCATCTACGTGGAATAAATTTGACGTAAGAGTTGAAATAAGAAATGAAAATAATATATATTTCTTTCGCCTTACCCCTGTATTCTGGTTGTTTATACCGGAAGTTTTACTCGTCATTTAAGAAAGGTAAGCGAAATAAATATTTTTTACTCCAACTTACGCCAAGCTTACTTCATGTGTTGTAGATGAGCTCTTACGCACTCGCGTGCATTATATACAACATCATATCGTAAATATCTCACCGAAATAATTGCAGCGAGGCACCTACGGACGGAATCGGCAACGATGATATTTGATATTAACAATTGACGCGGTTATCCTTCCCCCATTTCCGCATCACGCGTATTATTTGCTCCACTTGGGAATTCGACGTGCTCTTCAAAAGCTGTATCACGTCCGACAGTAGTTCTCTGTGCGAACGACACAAATAATTCGTGAGTCGTGAATTCTCCACTCGCGGCTCCGACGCATGTCCGTCTGATACTTATCGCGCACATTTACGTACTTTGGTTGCTTTTCTGCTATTATATATTGAAAAGTACCACAGCAGGCACCGCGCTTCCCTTCCCAGTGCTCGGGACTCGGATCCATGCGTTCCAGCATGTCGAAGGCCTTGGCGGCGTACCAAAACTCACCGACTTTGTAACACGCGTTGGCGATCAGCTGCAGCAGATTGAAGGATTCCGTCGACGTGTCCATCTTCAAGTACAATTCCCAGGCTAGTTCGGCCTTCTTATTCATTATATCTGAGCGAGTGGAGACGAGTAATTAATCATCGATGTAACATCAGGATTCATTGAATACAATTTTGATTTTGAAGCTTGTTTCTCGAGTAGTTATGATCGCTTGGGAGAGAATATTACAATTTTCTTTCATACAAGTTCTTTTCGATTTTACTGTGGTTTTAATAGTCCAGGAATAGACTCAATAAATCTGAGGAATAGATCCAACAAATTGATAAAGTTTGTTTTGCTAAGGGAATAAATAAATAGTAAATTTTTAAATTTACTAAATTAGTAAATTTACTAAATTAGTAGATAGATTAATAAATTTTTTCAGATTTTACTCATTAAATGAATATCACTTTAGATATTTTTTTCTTTCAATATAGTGATTTCTTTAATAGCACATCTTAGTCAAATAGCGCACATGAAATGAAGGGATAATAAACTATTGTAGAAAATATCGATCTATTTCACGGTTACAAAATTCTGGAGTAACTTTTATTATAAAATTTTCCCTCTGCATGAAAAACGATATTTCATGAGTTGTATTATTCCTTGGAGATCTTTCAAGGAACAATGACGACACATAATATACTCACAGCAGTAGGACAGGAGGCTGATGTAGATGTAATCGTTCTTGTACTTTTCGTTACGTATCATCAGAAAGGCTTCCTCCGCCTCTTTAAAGTAACCAGCAGCAGTTTGCGCTTGGGCGTAGTTGAAATTGAAATTGTCCTGATTGGAGAAATACGTCTTGATCGAGCTCAGGTACACCAGCACTTCCTCGAATTGCCGGTAGAGGAAGAAACAGGAAGCCATGCACTGCCTGCCGGGTATGGTGTCGCATTCCGACGCTGAAGAGCCCACCAGTTGGAAATATTGTTGGGCTGTTTTTATGCTGTCACGCTAGAAATGTTGGTGATGGAATCTCGGTGATTACGCATGAACGTCCGTGTTCAACAGCAGCCTAACAATACCTACAGAATTGGTCTCTTGGCCCATAACGGCGTTGACGATGCCTTTCAGGATGTATTCCTGCGGCACCGCGGGTTCCAGGTCCTTGATGAGTTCATAGGCCGCCTTGACGTCGTCTTGCTTCAAGTAATATATCACCAAATTGAGCCTGGCTTCCGGTATAACGTCCACCAGGTTCGGCAATATCTGCAGGGCGTTTTCGCCACCTCTGAACACCTACGTAGGCAGAAACTGAGCTTGAGAGCTTTCCAGCGAGAAATCGACGTCGTTTCGACCTCGATCGACGAGTGATTTCTCATTAGGTTGGGCAAATAGAACGAAACAGAGAATTTGGTACATACAACTGTGTTATGACGTATTAGATCGTGGCCGAAACTGAAGGAACTCGATATCTTCTCGATGAGCTGCTTCATCTCTGATTGCGCTGCGTTCCCGTCGTACAAACGGAAATGATTGCACGCCTTCAGATTGATCGCGATCGCACTGTCCGGATATTTCTGCAAGTAAACCTGAAGCACCTCCTGAGCCACATCGTAGTAATCTAGCTTGTAGTAGCACAGAGCTACGTATACGTTCAGAGCCAGATAATCCCTGCGGGAAAAGTATTTGTAACGTTAAAGTGATGTGTTGCGTTAAATCGCGCAAAGTTGACATCTTGGTCTTTGCAATAGCAGCATTGCACTTATATTTATGTTAACAGCAACATATCATTGTCCTACTTTCTAAATAGACGGATTTTTCAATGAAACCTTACTTCCACTGATCAAAATCAATAAGATATAAGATGAAGCAGTAAAGTGTTCCCACTTTAGTGAATATTCATTGTTTATTGGTGATTGCTCCTTTAATTTAATTAGAAACATTTTTACTGATTCACTTTAGTAGAGAGTAAATATAGGAGAGGGTGAGGGCGGCAGATACCTATGATTTGTCAGCCGGGTAAGGAAATACATGTCGGAGTCGTTCTTAAAGCGGCGTTTCTTAGACTTTTTCTTTCTAAACTCGCTGTAGGAATGATTGCAGAGAAAATAAGGATGTGTCAATGGGGATAATTTTGCGAGCTCCTAGCGCCAATGAGATAAAAGCAACATTGTTCCAACCTGTTGTCCAACAAGATCCTCTTGTACACGTCGATAGCGTCTTGATAATGAGCTCTGAGATAATGGATAGACGCCAAACTGAGCTGATCCTCTATGACATTCTGCAACATCTGATGGTACTCCTTCACTTTGGATTCGTTGCCCATCTTGTGAGCCAAGTGGAACAGCAGTCTGGTTCTCAGCCTACTGTCAGCTGCATCCTCCAGGGTCTGCTGCGACTCGGGATACATGCCCAGATAAAAGTAGCAACATGCCAGATTCGTCAGCACATCCGGCGGCATGTAATCCTTCTTCCTCAGGTTCTCGTAGACCGTAACAGCGCGCTTGTAATCACCCAGATGGAATGCACAGTATCCAATCCACAGGTCCGACTCCAGACTGCTACCGGTGCTGCTGTTGAACTCCAGCAACGTCAAGGCTCCGGTGTAGTCGCGTTTCTCCAGGAATTCCTCTAGCTTTGGTATTTCCTTGCGCGACGCCGACTTCCGAACACTCTCTGACGAGGCCGGCTTGGCCCTCGACAAGATCTATCGAGGAAGTAACAATTTATATTGGGACGTAATAACAGAATATTAATTTGTTTTTCTTTTGTCAGCATTAATATTTTCTACATATATTTAGATTGTGCAATGTAAGTTGAGAAATAAGAATATAATATAAGAATATACAATGATGTCTTACCATTTTGTATTGTGCCGTACACGCGCGTGGTATTATCGATTATTTCGAACGCGTTGGCATGCGACGACCGAGACATAACAAACGGCAAGCGCTGCAATCGGCCGTGAAGAATATATAGCGATATTAACAACAGTCTGTTTCTCTTGAAATAATTTGAAATCGATGTTTAAATGATATTGTACGCTGCGAGCGTACAAGTTTCTTTAAAATGAGTCACGAGAGTGATGTAATTAAATGCTTTATTATAAAAAATACAAATAGCAAACGATTCATTGCTCTATTTTACAACTACACATTAAAAAACAAGTTAAAATTATACTATAACGAAAACAATCTTTGTGTTAACTTTTGGCAGCTTTCGCAAACTGTACAACCATAGGCTTGTCTTTTAATATATATCCATTGGTCTCGTCGAGAGCCATTTGAGCCTGAACGTTATTCTGCAGGGTGACAAAAGCTTGTCCCTTCATTCTGCCTTCTTGCATAAGTCGTAAATCATATCTGAAACGCAGAAAAAGTAAGATTAATACATTATGATATAGAAAAAAATACAAATGAGATATTAAACACTGCAATATTAAAGACACATAGATACAGATAGAAATACTTACTTCGTCTCTGCGTCTTTCAATCCCGCGATAACATATCTTTGATAAATGTAATGTAAGTCCTTCGTTTCCACTTGTTTCGCAAGATTCTTTATGTAGAGTCGATTAGAAGGTTTGCCCGGATAATAATTCTTGAACACGGGAAGCACTCTCTGATCGTTGGCGGAGATTCTATTGGCTTCTAACTCTTCGGTAGTTATAAATTTGTTCTTCGGCGTATCCGCACTCCCCTCGCTGTCCTTCGCGTCTTCAGCAGCCTTATTAACCGGGAATATTAAGCCAAATCCGCCATCAACTGCCACGGCACTGTCTTGAGTAACGGATGCTGCGTCTAACGACTTATCCAGAGTCTTCAGTTCGATCTTGAGATTCTTAGTTTCCCCGAGTTGAACGGCCTCGAATAAATCTTCCGGTTTGAGTACTTTTTGCGTGGACGAAGGAGCCGCGATGTTCTTGGTCGGATTTACAAACTTTAGGATCTTCAAACGTCTCTTAGGTTGTGGTAGTTTTCTTTTAACGGGAATAATCTGTGCAGGCCTGACGTTATCTTCTGCATCTGATTCTATTTCTGACTCCTCCTCCTCCTCCTCCTCTTCATTCGTACGTTCATGTAATGCATCTAGATGAGATAAACTATTAGCCTAGTCTTATTTTTATTTAAATTTAGAAACTCTAAAAACCAATATAATTTTTTTACCAATATCTCCTACCTTTATTGATCACTACATTGCCAAAGATATTCTTGTACTTCTCCATATTGTAAGCTTCTCTCAGCATGGGAAATTCTCCTTCCAGTTCCTCAAAAGGAGGTGGTAGGTTCATTTTATTCATTAAGTGCAATACCTGGGAACAAACGTGACAGCTGTAACATCACCGTTTACATGTTATTCATTAAAATGACACCTGCAAACAAGGGCATTGCTTATACCTGTGTGTAAAAAGCTGGTTCCTTCCACAGTTGTATGGCTATCCGCATCAGTGTATTCTTTGTAGGTGCCATATATTTGTACCTTATATTTGGTGGAGGTGCTTGACTGAACACGTGATTCATAGTCCAACTGTTCAACTTCTTTTGGAAGGCTTGAAGATCAGTCTTACTAGTAGCCTTTGCTTTAACATCGTTGTCTGTGGGTGGTTCACGCTGAGGCTCCAGCTCTGAGAGCTCGGCTGGTGTCGACTTCTTGGCATACTCAACCGACAGATATTGTCCTTTAACGTTTAACTGATGCAGGCGCAGCAACGCATCCGTCGCCATTTGCTGGGAGGCGAATTTGGCAAAGGTGACGGTGTACTTGCTGGACCGTCTCAGTGTTCTGGTTTTTATCGCGCCATATCTCTGCAGTAACGAATTGCGCCGATCGTCGGACAACTGAGGCGGCAGATGGAGAATCCTCAAGGTGTCGCATGCCTGAAAATACAAACGGTTAAGTCGTTTCTGTCGAACTCGACAAATGATAGGTTAAGAGAACCAAACGCGGCTTCGTTTGAATAATGGAAATTAAAGCTGCTTCCAGCAATCGTATCAGTCGCGTTATGCACAAACATTAACGCTACCGGAATCGTTTCCGACGACATTGTCTGTCACAGCTGCCAATCAATAATAAAGTTTATTCTTTGTTTTGACAGGATTCGGACGAAACGTAAACAAAGACGAATGCGCCATGGCAAGCCTGAGAAAAGAAACTCAGGTGGCGGGGAGATCCGACCAATCGGTGATCGAGAACGGTGTCAAATAATTCGAATCCAGTTCCGACTCTGGATGTACATACTTTCAGGTCACACATGCATGCACAGGTCGGTTTGAATCGGTGTAGTTTGTGTTTCGCTACCTCGCGACAGTTTGGCATGTATTAATCGCAACGATTTTAATAAAATCACGAAATTTTCAAGAAAACAATCGATCGATCGTACAAATGGAATGTGATCCGGCATACGTGTAACCCCGTGGGAACCGTGAAAAAAATTCATCCGTGTGTTGATGTCGATGAAATGCGCGTCGCTGCCAATCTAGACGCGTAGTTCGCTGCGATCCATCGCGTTTGTTTAGCTGTTCGCATTAACGGCCGAGCCATCCTCTCAGTCGAGTTATTCTTGCAAAAAAGTCGCGTTTTACGTCGAAATCACCGTCGCTCTCGCTTCCGCCGTCGATTGTAACGAAATTGGAATCATGTCCGACAAGTTGGCCGAAACCACAGAGGATGACAATTCCGTCACGATGCTCGATGTCCTCCAAGTGGAAAATCAGCTCGAGGAGGATGCGTACGCCGTTCTGGGCGCTTCCGACGATCAAAACTGTACTTACAACAAGGTTGTATGTCGATCGACGCTTTCTTCTTCTCCCACTGCAATATTGCACCTTTGTTCTCACTGAAATGCTGTTTCACGGTTGTTACTCGCTAGCAGGTGTCGGCGGTTGTTGACCCTTTGATTCTTCACAGGGATACATAAGGCAGGCTTTGTATGCATGCAAAACATGTTCAAGCAAAACTCGAGCTGCGGTTTGCTTAGCGTGCAGTTTTCATTGCCATGAGGGTCACGAACTTGTGGAATTGTATACAAAACGACACTTCAGATGCGACTGTGGAAACTCCAAGTTTGAGGGCAAACAGTGTAATCTAGAGAAGGTATTGAATTTTCTTTGTCTAACGCCTTATATGCTTTGCACAGAATCATATGATGTAATAATCATTTGTCATTTTTTTGTAGCAAAAATCTGCTACCAATAATGAGAACAAGTACAATCAGAATTTTGATGGGGTTTACTGCACTTGTGCACGACCATATCCTGATCCTGAAGGCGATGACGATGAAATGTTACAGTGTATAATATGTGAAGATTGGTATCATTCAAAGGTAAGTAATTAAAGTTGTGATTCACAATAAAGTCTTTTCTAAATAAAATCACTGTTCAGTTTTGTTTCAGTGTGATTTAAATGATTTCATTGTTTGATAAAATTTCTATGTAACCATAATAATTTCTTTTTTCCAGCATCTGGAAGTTGATGATGTGCCAGCTGAGGGTGCATATGATGAAATGATTTGTGCACATTGCATGAAAGAGCACACTTTTCTGTGGAGATATGCAGCAAAAAATGCAGGTAAAAATCTTTGGATTTTTGCTATTATTGTACTGTGTATTCTTATTAGTGACTTTAACATGATTAGTTTCAGGCAAATCAGAAGCAACAGCTGACAACAAAACTGAAGAGGTGGATGTGTGCGAGCTGCCGAAAGGATGTCAGATGCCGAAACTTACCCCTGGGAGTACCAAGGGAAGCTGTTTCTGGAAAGAAGGTTGGAGAACTTCATTGTGTACTTGCGACGAATGCAAATCGGTAAAGTACAGAATATATAAATTCAAGCAATTTATGCACTGATTTTTCTTTATTGTTTTTTATTTTTAAAAAATAAAATCTTTAAGGAACATGTGTTTTGTATAATCATATATAATTGTGTGTTCTGTATCTCATTGTAGTTTTTTCTGCTGTTTACAGGTATATAATACAAAAGATGTTGCATTTCTACTTGATCCAAAGGATAGTGTGCAAGCTTATGAGGAAGCAGGCAAAGTGAATAAAAAGGAGTCGCAATACGAGAAAGGTATGAAAGCTCTGGCGAGTTTGGAGCATGTGCAACAGTTAACGGCAATCGAAGGTAAGATCATAAAATATTAAAACTATTGTGTATATATATATTTTGGAAATTTTAATCCTTTGTACGATGAATATATATATTGGTATCATTTCCCACTAACATGGAATTGTTTGCAAATACTGTTAGAATATAACAACATGAAGGAGCGACTTATGCAATATTTACAAAAGTTTGCGGAAAACAAAAAGGTCGTACGCGAAGAAGACATCAAAGAGTTCTTCTCAGGAATGGAACCGAGAAAGCGTCCTAGAGTAGTAGTGCCAACGTATTGTCGTTAAAATCTGTATTTTAATATCACATTAATATCCCTCTTGCTACCTAATAACTATACAAGTAAGGATAAGCACTTGTGTTTTTATATATATATGGCAAGCTATCATACATTATATATTCTTTAGATTTCTCTGTCTAACTTTTAATATATATATATATATATATATCACTGCATTACGCTTGCAGTATTTTAACAACAATTTAATAATTATACGTAATTAAAAGGGTAGAATTACAAGAGAAAAATATAATGAGAATGTAAATTTGCAACTCTCTAGTACATGTCAAGGAAGCTTACAAATAAAGAGATCCATAATTTTTCTTTTGCAATCTTTATGTATATAATATTAACTTTTATATTCTATGTAATTTTATAAATATATTTTATTAATGGATATATAATTACGGTACGTTTTTTTCAATAAATTTCGGAATATGGTACGTTTTTTTTAATAAATTTCGGAATATGGTACGTTTTTTTTAATAAATTTCGGAATGTACAAGTATCCAATAGATATATGATCTGTTTTTCCGATAATCGTTAAAAATAAATTATACAATTACATTTACACATCATTTCTTTCAATCACTAAAATCAACGAAATTCAACGATCTGTAACTTTTGTAAAAATAATTACGGGATGGTTTAACACTTTAATTAAAATTTAATATTTTAAAGATAAATGTCTCTAGTTTTCAGAAACTTTGTCGAATATAATGTCCATTTATTTTTTTGCATTGTTACATTGATATAAATGGCGATTCGTATAATGCCAAAACTTTTTATAAAGTTTATCGAATATGTACCGCATGCAATAAAAATCTTACACAAATATGGTATATACTTTTTAAAAGTATGAACCTTTCACTTTAATTTGTATACACGCAGTTTGTAACATAATTTGTTTTTCACCGAGTATTCAATGTTGAAGCGAAAACTGTCCTTTTGGCTGTAATTGCTCATAGTAAGCGAACGAATCGTCATACGACATTTCCTAAGCAATAAATAAAAAGCTGAAAGCTTCATCTCTAAGATGCATTTATCATATTTTTTATGAAAATACATTTTTAGTGTAAAAACTGAAATATGATGTTGAAAATTGAACATTTTGCATTTAACCCGATATACTTTGGCGATAGTTGATAGTAACATTAAGAATTTGATATGCTTGAAAAGTATAGACTTTAAGCTTTAAAATGCTTCTAGAACGATTTTGCTATCGTTATTTTTGCGGAAGCTGCAATCTGTTGAAGTTTGCCTATGGAAGCGTAGGCAAAAGTAGTGATGTCGACATTTAATTCCGAAATCTCCGCTACGAGCCGCCACTGTATATTGTATAATCAAATTTGATCATTGAATCTATCACTATCTCATTTTTTTTTTATTGATACTATATACATTGCCATTAAGTGCTAGCTTATTTTGCTTAGAGAACCATACAGTTTATATCTTCTTTTAGTTCCAAATATAAAGTTTGTTATCTAATTGCAAAGACATATGTATAAATATTTCTTAAAATACTTGTGTTACATTGATTGCTTAGAACTTAACTTAATAACAAATTTCGTACTCTTTCTTAAAACTTATTTTTAAGCTTAAAGTTAATATTAAACTTAAAATTTGACATTGCTATTCTCGAATTGTGTTTTATACCTTGGTTTCCTTAGTGTCTCCCTATTTGCTTATCTGTATATTTCATAGACATAATAAAATTAAAAACAAAAACAAAAATGCAGAACTTAGTAAACTAGTAGTTGATTGATCCTTTTTACAACCCAGCTTCAGTGTAGTGTAGTGTAGTATTATGTGGTACAGAATATATAATATAATATAATATGAACTTGTATCATGGTTTTGAAGAACGTTATATAAACGTAATGACTCTTATTGTAAGTGTTCTTTATCTTTAAGCGGTTTCTACCATCTAGTTCGCAATTCTAAATTCTATATTCTAACTTCTAAATTCTAAATAACTTATATTAGTGTTATTGTATCATTTGTATTCTATTAACTTCTATTTTGATCGTGTGTTTTGATTCTTACTCAACCATTTCCCTTATATGAGTGTTGATATCGTACTGATAAACTTGTCCATTATTAAAATAATGTCCCCTTTAAGGGTAGCTAAGAGGTATTCAATAGGGTGAGGAAGGAATCCCCGAACTTTAATCAGCTCCTTTCTTAGCATTTCCTTGTTATGAGCTGGACATTCCCAGAAAACGTGGTTTGCATTTTCCTCTTTTCCGCATTGTTGGCAAAGAGGGGAATCAACGATTCGAAAGCGATATAAACTGGCCATTAAAGAGGTATGTCCACTGCGCAAACGGTTGATAGCTGTTATCCTCCTCCTCTGTATATTAAAATTTATGAACCATAATATGCGCTTATCCTCAAAGTAATTTTGGAAATACCAAGATCCGCGACTCGATGATTTTCGACGACTCCACTCTGCTGTTTCCGTATACATTTGCTCCTTCCAACAGTTTTTGAGTTCTTTTATTGGTATGTCTATTTGTGAGTCTCTCCCATTCTTGATCGCCTCTTTTACCAAAAGATCTGCCTGTTCATTCCCTGGTATTCCCTTATGACTTGGAATCCATATTAATTTTATCCTAAACCCACACTTTTCCATTTCAAGAATTAAAGATTTAAGATATAGAATTAAGTACGAACTTTGATTAGTATTATGTTCAGTTTGTAGCGCCGAGAGTACCGATCGGGAATCTGAAAAGATTGTGATTTCCACCCAATGTTGCTTTTGTGTTAGTTTCAGTGCTTCTATAATCGCCATTGCTTCTAAACAATAAGGCAAAACAAACTGATCTAAAACGTTCCATCATTTCCTTTTCAGGTACCGCTACTGCAAAACCCGTATATAAGGCGTCTTTAATTTTTGACCCATCTGTAGTATATGTTAATTGAGGAACTTATTTCTTTCTTATATAGTTTTTGGAACTCCTGCGCTATGTTTTTTGTGTTTGCGAGGTCAGTGCCACTACACGTATCTATCACTGGATGATATGTTGGAGCTTTGAAGTTATATAAGTAATATATTGGATTTTCCCTATATGGAAGGAGATGGACTTTACTTTCTACCTTCCTATATGATTTCATTATTTGAAAGGTTCCTATACGATCTATTTGCGTTGACACTTGTGTCATTTCCTCTGCCTCTTCCAGATTTTGGTGCAGCGGATGTCCCTTAGTTGATTGCTCTTGCAAGGATGTTATTGCACAAATATTGATTTCTGATTGTTGGTGGTGGTTCTTTCGATTCTCCCAAAACTACGTTTAATGGAGTTGTGTTTCTATAGCCCATTGCAGTCCTAATCGTCCTAAGTTGAACCTTATCAAGACGTGAGGGTAATTGTGTTGAAAGATTCTGTAACAAATAACCCCTATATTCTAATCTTGACCTTATTAATGCTTGATAAATGCGAAGTAGTAATTTAAGATCTGCGCCCCACCAGGTGCGGCCCAGACACCGAAGAGTAGCACTAGCACATTTACCCTCTACTGTCTTAATATGGTTTGCCCATCCCAGATCTGACTGAAAAATCATACCCAGAAATCTGATTTTGGATGCAGTTTTAATGTCCTCTCCCCCTATTATAATTTGATGAGATTTTTTATGGTATACTGTTCTATTTCCGTTTTTTACGGGGACTCTTAATTCTTTATTGTCATGACTGAAGACATATACCAGGTGTAGAAGTATGAAACCGGAATTTTTTTATACAAATAAGACGTCTGTTGTTCGAAAGTGATAAATAATACTTTATTCAAAATAATTTCCACTGTTTTGAACACATTTTTCCCACCTCTCTGGCAGTTTATGAATGCCGTGCCAAAAAAACTTTTCATCTTTTGAAGCGAACCAGTTATCTAGCCATTTTTCCACATTTTCATACGAATCGAAGCGTTGGTTAGCGAGAGCGTGTCCTAGCGATGCGAACAGGTGATAATCGGACGGAGCCAAGTCTGGAGAATAAGCCGCATGCGGTAGTAATTCCCAACTGAACGACTCGATCGTTTCCTTGACCCGTTTTGCTGTATGTGATGGGGCATTATCATGGAGCAAAATGACATTGTGTTGCCTTTTTGCATATTCTGGTCGTTTTTTAGTCAATGTTCGATTTAAATCGATCATTTGTTGTTGGTAGCGATTAGTATTGACGGTTTGACCAGGTTTCAGCAGTTCATAGTTCATAGTTCATAGTTCATAGTTCTTCGTTCCTCACGTCAAAATCACCACTTTTGAATTTTTTAAACCACTCGAAACACTGAGATTTACCAAGAGCATATTCACCGTAAGCTTCGACAAGCATTCGATGTGATTCTGCAGCAGTTTTCTTTAAATGATAACAGAAAATCAATGCTGTCCGCAAATCATAGTTAGTAGGCTCGAAACGTGACATGTTTAAGGTTATACAAAAATATACTAGAGAATGAAAGTTGGGGTTATGTTTGTTGACAATATTCGTCAGCTGTTAGGAGAATATAATAGCGCGGCAGTAGCGGTCTTACGGTCACTAAACTGAACGCTGGCACCATTTATAGGGGAATTCCGGTTTCATACTTCTACACCTGGTAGTTGTGTTTTTATGGTTGAAAGTATAAGACCAAGATTTTCCAACATTAATTCTATGTAGTTGTTTCCATTGCTTTAAGACACTTAAGAAGTGTCTTAAGTGGAGGGCAAATTTTATTTATCTGTTCTTTAACGTTGATTATTTTTTCCTCATTGTATTCATTCTCTGTGTGATTTCATTCTATTTTTTAAATTTTTAACCATATTCCATACATATTTTGGATTTGTGTCCCTTCTTAACCCTGCACAAAATTTTTTGAATTCCTCTTGTTTTAAACGTCGTAATTCTCTCCGAGTAATCGCCACCTGTCTTTTATATACTAAAAAGTGTTCGTGAAGTTCGGTACTTTTAAATTTTTTATACGCTGCTTTCTTTAATCTTATTACTTTTTCACATTCTTTATTCCACCACGGGCAAAGTAAACGATTTATTTTTTGTTGTTTAAGACGTGCCGATTGTGACTCCTTGCCCTGAGTCGATACTCTTAAGGCATTCTCAATTGTGGCTACAAAAGTTGAATATTTAACCTCTACTTGTTTAATTTTCGTTAGTGATTTTTTAATCACTCGGTGTATTTGGTCTTGGAATTGGAATCAATTCCTATGTATTGTGTATGGTCGCGGTGGCTTTACTCTCGTTTTTAATGCTTCTGGGCATAAACTTGAGCTGATAAAAATAGGGAAGTGATCACTCCCCCATGGGTCTTCCCCCACCTTTCAACTAAGTTGTAACCCCACCGAGTTATGTACGATTGATAAGTTTATAGCCGATTGGGTTTGGTATGCATCGCTTTGAAACGTTTTAGATCCATCGTTTAAAAAAAGAGAACTATCTGAGGAGTGTATGAAGTTGGCACCCCACTTTTTGAAATTTATAATTTTGAAAGTTGTTCCAGATTGTTCTGACTTTGTACCACATTGTTCCAAAGTGATATTGCTTCATTCGAAACGGTTTTCGAATAAAACAAAAAAAA